TCTTCTGGATTGGGTCTGAAATTACAAGACCATGGAGTTAAACATTAGTAGTCGTAAACACAAAATTGGGTCGACTGTTCAACGGCTGTTATATTATGAAATAAAATTGTTAAGGTCAATGCTATATATCTATATTTCAGTATTTTTGGTTTCAATGATCTACTATAAACGGTCATAACTGACTTGCCACAAACTATAAAATTATTGTAACTTTACTTTATTAAGCAGATGTAAATTTTGCTGCCTCAAATGTATTGACGTAATTTAACTCATATAGGTGGTGTAGAACTACACATTGTTTGTGGTAGCTTATGCAACAATATTGTGAGACTTATCATAAATTTGTATGGGAATCAGTAATTTCTGCAAAAATTTGCGATTTCCAAAAATTAATTTAATTTTTTTTCAATAATTCTTTCCAGTTTTCTTACATGGTAATACAGAATGTATCTCCATGAAAATAAGGCTAAAAATAGTGTGTGGAGTCCCTCCGGGCGGAAGAAGTTAAACTTCGTAACCTGCGACGTTAATTGTAGAAGAATCAGCAGTCGTAGAAAGATCACTAGTTCTATTCAACGACTCTTTTTCCTGCTCCGCTCGTTTACGTGCTCTGTAATCACGGTAATATTGTGCATTTTTCCCTCCTGGACCTCTTGAACCAGTGGAAGTGCCTGTGGTTGCCTCATCGTCTCGCCCTGGAAAATGTATTTGCATCAATAATGTATGTGAATGCGTCATAATGTAATTTCAAAAGAGAAAACCTAACAATCAATTGATATTCACAAGAGACATACCTTGACATAACCTTAAATCCGTCGCATTGTCCGTGGGATTGTTTTCAATCATTTTTTACAATTGTTATCCACTAAATTTTGAAAATAAAAAATACTACCCTATTAAATTATATGTGTATCAAAACAAACTAAAAAAATATTGATAGAAAAACAATACTTTTATGACTTTTATGCTAGTGAGAACCAAAACAATATGGAAATGAATGAGGGAAAACTGGATCCTACTACGTGATTTTCCGGCAAATAAAAATATAGCGTTAAACGTTTAACGCAACCTTGTTGGAAGTCGCATAAGAAGCATAACTTCAATAAAAGCTTTTACAGTTATAATTCAAAGTTTTTAAGTCAAATAAAAGCTTTACTCTCATAGTTCAAGATGTTCAAGTTCAATTTAAAAAAAAATTCGTAGGGAAAGAGTTTGAGGTCAAATAAAATCTTGTATAGTTATACTTTAATATTTTCAAGTCAAAAAAAAGTTTTACTCTCATAGTTCAAGATGTTTTAGTTCAATCAAATGAAAATTTCTACTGTTGAAGGGAAAGAGTTTGAGGTCAAATAAAAGCATTTACTGACAGAGTTTAGGATTTTTAAGCTAAATATAGTTTCCATTGTCATAGCTCAAGATGTTTTTCAGGATTTAAAACCTTTCTGCGGTGATCAAAAATCCTAGCTTAATTTGCATTAATTATTAAGAAAGCGAAAGTGTAGGATATATTAAAATGGTTATTTTATAAAGTAATCTACGATATATTTATTTAGGCAATCTCATTACCCTTTTTCGAAACAATTTTAGTTATTCACAAGCAAAAAGTCACTGAAGAAAAAACAAGTGGTTTAAGTTACAAGGTAACAAAATTAATTTATATTCCAAGTCTAATTAAAAATTTGATAAAAGGTCGTGATCGAAAAAATTTAATTAAATTTATCAATTTATTGACCCTTGATGTATCGTGGCAAGAACTTGCTTTTTTAATGCTCAGTTTTTTCATAAATTTTTACGGAAACTCGCTGGACTTTCAACTCTATTGCATTAAAAATTAAAACAAGTTCAAGAAAGTTATTGAATCAATAAGAGTTTTTTTTTGTCAGTACGAAGTAAATATTGATTTATTTTCAGATCCTTTCGTAAATAATTCACTGAAGAGTTTAAAAGTAGAAAAGGTGCATTTTCTACAGAAAAATTCATTTTTAATAGCACCGCTGCGTGTTTTTGCAATTTATATTTTTCGTGATTTCTGCTTATTTATATTTTCTTGTGAAAGCACTGTATTCTTCCGGATTCAAAACTAGAAAAAAAATTATAAATATTTTCAATTTAAAAAAAAATGAAAGTTTAATTAACCTTTTTCTTACATGTTTACGTATTAGCTTTTAAGGAATTTTTAGAGATCGAAGAACTTTCTTTTCAACGTTTAAAGAAAGTTAAATTGAAAATAGCATATAAAAATATCTATTATAATCAATAGCATATAAAAATAATATTAAAATCAATTTCATTCATAGTTCTCTTTACTTATTACTTTAAAAAACGATGTTTTCAGATAATTACTATCAAGTATGGCATGACAGTCCAGGGTGATCCATGTCTATCTAAACCAGACATTTCAAACCATTTCTACTGGCAGCCAAACATGTTGATTGGTTTAAATGAAAAATATCCTATTAGAGTATTACTGGCGTTAAGTTTACAACTATCTTTCAGATTACTACTGAAAGTAATTGTAAGGAATATGTTCGCTTTAAATATATATGATTGGATATGTAAATCATGGTGGTAGTTACGATTGAGTAATTAAATAAATAAATATAAATTACTTTCTTTTGGTTTAGATTTTTCTTTTGGTATGGTTTGAATTACCAACAATTTCTTTCTTTTTCAGGCATTAGTAAGAGCCCTGCAATATCTGGATAGTATAATACTTAAAACCTTGTTGAGGGAGATTTAAATACAAATGGTTTTATTTTGAATTGTTTAAAAAGATCAATATGTAGACGATGAAATGTCAAGACTTCAGTTGAAAGGAGTTTCTGATTGTTGTTTTGAATTGGAATGATTGAAAAGGACAGTATCTGGATGGTGAAATACAAAGACTATTGTTAAAGGAAGTTCAAATAATAAGGACTTTATTCTGAAATCTATAAAAGTGATGATATCTATATGCTGAAATTCTAAGGTTAAGGAAGTTTAAATGCTGATGGTAGTGTTTTAAAATGTTTGAAAGTAACAATACTTTGATAAAAAAATACCAAAATCATTACTGAAGGAAGTTCCTGATTGTTGTTTTGCTTTGGAATGTTTAAAAATAGCAAAATCCGAATAGTTGAATGCTGAGACTTGCTAACGGAAGTTTAATTGCAATCGTCTAAAATCGGCAACAATACCTTAATAGTGGAATGCTGAACCTTTTGTTGTCGAAAGTTAAAATACAAATAGCTCTTTTTTAATTTTCTTTTCTAAAATGACATTATTATATGTATAGATTGTGAAATACCAAGATGATTGATGAAGGAAGTTGCTATTTATTATTCTGAATTGATTTGCTTAAAAATGGCAATATTAATATAGTAAAATATTAAGGCCTTTCAAAAAGTTTATATGGTACATTTTATGCTACCTGAACTGAAATAAAACTAGTTTAGACGAGATGAAATAAGCACTCAGTACTTTATTTATACTTTATTCCAGTTGGTTTTTGATTCTGACTAAAGATATTATTTTAAAAAATGCAAATGCTAGTGGTTTTGTTTTGAAATGCTTTAAAATGATAGTACTTTAATATTAAATCATTAAGAACATTTTTAATGAAAGTTTAAATGCTGAAACTTTTGTTTTGGAATGTTTGAAAGTAACAATTCCTGAATAGTAAATAGCAAGACCATTGTTGAAGAAATTTGCTGATCATTGTTTTACATTAGAATGTATGTAAAATGACGATATCTGGATAGGGAAATGTTAAGATTATTGTTAAAGGAAGTTTAAAGATAATGATTTATAATCGACAATACCTCAAAAGTGAAATACTAAGACCATTGTTGAAGAAAGTGTAAGTACTAATTGTTTTGTTTCAAATTCTTTAAAACTGACTATATCTAGATACTGAAATTCCAAGGTTAGTCTTAAAGAAGTTTAAATGCGAAGTATATTGTTTTGAAATGTTTAAAAATGACAATGACTAGATGGTATATTACCATAACCATTGTTGAAGGAAGTTACTAATTAATGTTTTGTTCGAAATATTTAAAATCAGCATAATCTGAAAAGTGAAATACTAAGAAATTTTTTGAAGGAAGTTGAATTACAAAAGGGCTTTATTGTGATCTTGAAAAGTGCAGTGCCTGGCTTCTGAGCTGCAGTAGCTCAGGGTATAGGGTGTTCACCTCCCAATCAGGTGATCCGGGCTCGAATCCCAGCGCAGGCTAGTCATCTTGTCATTACATATTATCTCATTGTATTTTGGTCCGGGGCTCGGTTCCATGTGCTTAATGTTGAGTGTCTGATTCGAAACATAATCATTATTGCATATTAGTGTGAATGTATCACAAGGCGTAGTGTTTAAAGCTAAATTAAAATGAAGCAAGCTCACCTCGGGGTCGTGGGACTGGTATTTACTCAAACAATTAAAAAACCCGTTTACTTAAATTATAATAAATGAATTAGACAAGTTAGTTTAAAAAAAACAACTTTATTGAGTTCTACATGAAGATCTTAATGAAAAAGACTGTGTTAATCGATCAAATCAAAACCGATTTTGCAACGATTAGTGCATTCTTTAAACCATTCAAAAAATTATTATGAGTGCTCACATTAACACATTTAATTTTTTTAGTGAAATGGAAAGTATCAGGTTACAAACATGCATTTAATAAATTGCTAAAAGATTTTATTTGAAAGAAAAAATAAACAAGCCTCAATTATTTTCAAATCCTCAAATTAAGTACATAAAAACCCTTGCAATTAACGCGTTAAAAATTTTAACATCAAATAAAATGACAAATTTTACTTACTACTTAAAAGATTTGTTTTATTATTAGAAGTGTTCTTCAAAACAATTTGGCAATAAAAAGCGATTTCAAAAGCTAAAGAATCTTATATTCTATTTTTCTTTTTAATCCACTTCAAACTGGGTATAAATGTGTTATTCCAATTTTGCTTCTTTTTTTCAACATACAAAAGTGTGAACAATAAGAAACTTTACAAGACATAGTTTTTACAAACATACATCAAATTTATGACCAATAAGAATACTATCATACTACATCAATGATAACATTATTACTTTTTATCAACACACATCAAACTCCATCAACAAAAATATCATATATCATTCATGGAAACATCAGTATATTCAATCAATAAGAACATTATATATCATCATTAAAAACATCATATCCAATCAATGAGAGTATCTATGTCAACAACACGTACCATAATCCATCAACAAAAACAATATATTTCATTAAGACATATCGTATTTCATCAACAATAGCATCCTTATATTTCATCAACAAACACATCATTATATTTCATCAACAAGCACATGATTATATTTCATCAACGCATATCTTATTCCATCAATAAGAAGATTTATGATATTTACCGATTCATTTCACGAAGAAAGAAGTCATTTTATTTCTTACGTAACAAATAATAAATACTGATGGCAGCATATGCACACTTTTCACGTAACAGTATTTAAAAACATTTTATCTGCACATAATAGAAAAAACTCTTTGACAGAATGTTTACATCCCTTCAAGAATTGGATAAAATAATTCCTCGTGTTCTGAAGTAGTGCATCAGCAAATCGTTAAATACATGGAGGTCTTTAATCTAGAATCTAGATTTCATACTTGAGCAGAAACATATTCAGATTGAGTATCGCACCTGGACTTGAAGGTACTTCTCAGTACCGTACTTTTAGTACCACTATGCGTCGTCTCGTAACGAAGAGTGCCGCAACAAGATCGACTTTTTATGATAGCTAAGAAACCCTTTCGAAATTTCTTATTACAAAATGTGTACAGAACAGGATTGATGCAACTGTTAGAGGCACCGAGCCATTGAGCTATTGGCACCATCACAGCGAATATTTTTCCTTTCCATGTGTTTTCATCCACGGTAGTCCCAAGCTTCACCATTGCGAAGATAGTGTAAAGGGGTAGCCATGACAGTGCGAAAAGAACTACGACAAATACCATCATTTTTACAACCTGTAAAATGAAAATGAATTTACAATACACAATGCAATATTGGGGATATGCAATAATTGAAATAACCCTAGTAGAAATCACAACCACACATAAGATATGGATTCTTGACGGTAAAAAATTACCATGTTTCAATTTCTTATTCATTATGGGAAATTTTACTTTGTTTTCCTTTTAACTATTTAATTCTTTGTTTTGTTTAATCGTATAGAATTTCGACACGGCTTTACTGCGCCTAACTCAAACATCATTACCATTTTTAAGGTAAAGAAATTAAATGGTGTTTCAAACAGAGAAAACAGAAAAGTAAAGGATTATTTTTGCAACGCCCATCCATATATTGACATTCGTTATTCGGGTTTCATTATCATCATTGGCGCAACAGCCTACGTGGGTCCTGGCCTTCTAGAGAATTTGCTTCCATCCCAGACACTCATTAATTAAATTCTGATACCCGAATGATCTCTCCGATCATTCGGGAAAGACAAAAGTATATTTGTTGACCATTTTTTCATTAGCACCATATTAGGTGGGCTATCATTGTTGACACAGTAAGGAGGATAGAGGTACATAGAAGGTATATAGAAGAGAAGGAAAGAGCATCCATATGCCTAGTCCGAGATTTAACCTTGGGACCTTGCTGACATGAGGTTGCCTCACTGACCACCATATAGACGGTCATCATAAAAGGAAAGGAAATGGAGTATAATTACTCATTTTTGTTTACTCGTGTTTGATGACTCGTAATTGATTACTTGTTATTAATTAGTGATATTTGTTTGATTAAATGTTGGCTTTAAAGGTGCAAGGTTTAAGAATTAAATGCTACACAGATCATGGAACTCAACACAACGAAAGAAGTCTCCAAGTGTCATTAGAAGTAAAAAAACTCACCTTTTGGTGAGAATTTAAATTGGTAACAATAAATGGAATGTAATTTGAAACTATATGATTAGTCTAAATAATAACTGTTGAGATAAATTAATTTATTAAGATTTCTAGCAAGTTTTAAGCTACAAGTATTTTTTCTTACTTAAAACTATAATTTTAGGGTGATATAAATTTCAAATACTGATGATCGACGGTTTTATTACATACTTGTCCATGCTTTTACATATTTAGTAATTTCAGTTTGCAAAAGTTCGTAAATAAATTTAAATTCCACAGATGGTCGAAGTTCACAGTGAAATATTATATCAGTTATTATGAGTTTGCACACTGTTTCCATAAAATATGTCGAGTTCTGTATGTCATTAGTCGAGAGCTGCCAATGCCTGTTGCTTATCGAAGAAATTTCATTTTCATTATATTGGTATTTAAGACCATAAAAAACGAAAAAATTCAAATTACTGTAAATCAAGGAAGCTCAAGGAAACTGCCATCCAAACAAAGTCTGACACAAAACAGAACAAAAAATAAAAAAAAAGGTTTTCAGGTTACCTCGGTGTCTTATAATTTTATTTTTCTTGAAAAAGACAGAGCTTCCGAATCACTTGTAATTACTTTTAAAACATATATTTTAATTTTTTTTTCCAAATGTACACAGCAATGGCTCAGGGGATAGAGTGCCCGCTAAAGCCATCAAGCTAAATGGTTTTCCTCTCCATGTAATGCATATGAGGATTAGTTAGATCACAAAAGCCCCCCAAAAAGGGAAGTTTCTCCCAATACTTGATCCAGGAGCCCCTGATCTTCTGGATTGGGTTCAAATTTACAAGACTACGGTATTCAATGATGGTTATAAAATAAAATATACATAAGAAAACGCATAAATATAAATTTGCGATAATTAATTTACTAACCTTCAGCTTTGATCTTTGCATTACAGCATCTGCATTGGTTCCTTTTGTTTCTCCTGGTATATTTCTACGCCAAACTTTGATCCAAATGCCAATGTAGCACATAGATATGAGGCAAAGTGGTAGAACGTAACAGAGACCAAGATTTGCAACAAAAAAGAAAACTGTTTCTGCATTTTCATGTGGCCATTCTTCTACACACAACTGTGTCCCATCTGGTTCATCAGGATCGTATGGTTCCATTTTAAAGTAGAGAACCCAAGGAAGTGTTATTGACAACGAGAAAGTCCATATGATTGCGATGATCCACCGAGCTGCCTGTGTAGTCATCTGGCATCTTAACGGGTAGCATATGGCAACAAATCTGTAAATAGATCTAGCGAAATTTAAAACAAATATTTGCTGTTTAATTGGAGTGTTTAGTTTCAAAACCAATTATTCCACTTAAAAATAGTTTTATTAAAATTCCGCTTATTTAAATAAACAGCTCTTTACTAAAAGGCATGCTTCAAATATTTGGAAGCTAAATCTTTGTCTATGCTTACTTAATCTTGAGATATTTGCTCCCATCTAGATAAAAGATGTTTTACAGTACCAAGATGGATGACTTTTGCCAATTTCTTTATAAGAGATTTTAACAAATGTTAGGCTGAAAGATACTTTCCATGAAATAGAACAGAGAATTTCGAAAAGTTCTGGATAACATTTGTTTATTATTTTCATTGTTGTAATATTTATGTTAATTGATCAGGATGTTTTTAGATTCAAACACCTTAATTTTTTAAAGAAATAATCGATTAAAAATAAATAAATTGGGCACAAATAAATCATAAAGAATCTACTGGCTCTGGAGTAAATACTTCAACCGAAGTTAAGTATTAGATAAAATTATAAGAGTAGGGATGATAGCTTAATCTAAAAGTGATAACTGATCCAGTTTGTGAGAAAAGTGTTCTTGGCTAGTGTCTAGTGGTTATAAAAGTTTGTGTTTAGTGGTCACAAAATTTATATTTACGTGCTTGATTTTCTGTTTAACATCTTTGATATAATTATTGAAAACATGAATTAGTAGATTCTTATAAAATGCCAATTTTTTACAGTTATCTCGTGGTGATATTTTTAAATTATTTGCTTAAATGAAGGAAATTTACTTGCTAAAAAGCAGATTATTGTGAAGCCATGTAAACGTATTCTTCGTTACATTCATTATTCTTTACCTTTATCTTTAATTCTGTATCACTTTATAAGATACATGCTAAAGAGCAGAATATTTGGAAGCCCTGTAATTGTATCATTCTTCAACTTTACATATTTAGCAAGTCTTCGGCTCAAGCCGGAAGAAGTAATCTACAAAACCAGCTTCTTTACCTTTATCTTTAATTCTGTACTACTTTGTAATATACTTGCTAAAAAGCAGAGTATTTGGACTCCCTGTAAACGTATTATTCTTTGCATTTACTGTTCTTTACCTTTAATTCTGTACTACTTTGTAATATATTTGCTAAAAAGCAGAGTATTTGGACTCCCTGTAAACGCATTATTTTTGGCATTTACTGTTCTTTACCTTTAATTCTGTACCACTTTGTAATATATTTGCTAAAAAAACAGAGTATTTGGACTCCCTGTAAACGTAGTATTCTTTGCATCTACTGTTCTTTATCTTTAATTCTGTACCACTTTGTAATATACTTGCTAAAAAACAGAGTATTTGGACTCCCTGTAAACGTATTATTCTTTGCATTTACTGTTCTTTATCTTTAATTCTGTACCATTTTGTAATATACTTGCTAAAAAGCAGAGTATTTGAATTCCCTATAAACGTATTATTTTTTGCATTTACTGTTCTTTACCTTTAATTCTGTACCACTTTGTAATATATTTGCTAAAAAACAGAGTATTTGAAAGCGTATAACAAGTATAACAATAACAAGTAATAACAAGTATAACAATAGTAGCGTAAACGTATAACAAGTCAAATTCCTGTCATGCGCAGCAAAGAGTTTCAGAAAATTTTTTCTTGTGGCTAAGAAATAGTTCAACATTCTCAATAGCTATAAGTACTTTATTCTTTTTTGGACCTTAATACTACTTAGTTCCACGAGCTTAAACTACATTTGATCCTCAGTGTGATTTATACGAAATGATTATAAAAATCTACCCATTATTTGGTTTCATTTCTTATTTTTGTAAATTCATTTCAAGTAAAGCAAGAATAAAAAATAAACCAAAATTTAACTTTTTAAAATTTAGATTACTAATCCTAGTTAGTTTGAGTTCAAAGAATCTCTAAGACTCGGCTGAAATTAAGTCTAACCAATTTAATTTATTAAAGGCTAAAGTTATATTACATATTACATACTACAAAATACTTACTTAAACATAGTAGATATGTATATACGAAGATAGATAATTTAGATATACAATCAATTAGATAATTAGCATAGAAATTTGCAAATACAACATTGAGCAGCAAAAAGTTGAGCTATATTGCTTATAACTATTTTACTCTCTTAAATCAAATCAAGTATTTTTCAGTTATAATGGGCATAGTATCGATAACTTTGTACATATATTGCATCAAATTGCAATATATATAAATAACAAAGTGTTGTTCATTAGTAGTTAAGAGATGTGGTCTGATACAATCAGTTGCAGTTAAGGTATAATGCAAAAACATAATTTAGGCAAAATTTTCGAAATTGAGTTTTGTATAAATTTAGAATCCTTGTTCTCTTAGCTTTCTAAAAATACTTCACTTCTGTTTATGGTTCCATTATTTACTAAATTATAGTAGTTTGTGTGCAAGCTGATAACAGTGGATAGACTAATGATTTTAAATCTTTAACAAAATATCATCATTAAGCAAAAACGTCAACGGATACTTTTGAATTTAGACTCTACATCTATATATATCTTTCAATCTTACTTTAGCTGTTATACATATGAAAAGAAATCTGCGATTGGAATACAACTATTTGATATCATATTTATAATCACGCTTAAATTTTACTATTCATGAAATCGTATCTTAAATGTCATTAATCATTCAATGATTTGTAGAGTTTAAATTGAATTTCATAGAATTATTTTCAAGTTATCAGATAAAAAACCTCTGTATGTTTTTGTTTTATTTTAGTATTTTTTTTTATTTTAGATTAAAAAAAGCATTATTTTCTGGTCAGTGATATCTCAAAGGGAATCAACAAATTTTCTGTGAAATAAAGGATTTCCGGACAATTAAGAGAGTGAGTCTATCGAATTATCAAAGAGTTTCAATTGAAAAAAGGTCTCCTTCACAAGTGAATGCTTCCACATCAATAAAGGACCTAATCAAATTTGTGCCAAGTAATAAAACACTTAAAACTATTTTCTTAGAACAGTAAACAATCTATTAAAGTTTATTACCCGTTCTACATGCAAATGAATTTTACAGCTTTGGGGACATACGATTTTCTACAATTTATTTAACTGTTTATAAACTATTTTAGCATTGAAAAAATTAGAACAAACAAAAGTTGTTTCAGTTAGTTTTAGCAAAATTACGTTCCATCGAATAAATTACTAAATTGCAAGCAAACTTCTTCAGAGTTATTTTTCTAGAGAATGATTAAAAAGCAGTAATCAAAAAAAGGGCTTCTTTCTAAAACAAATTAAAAATGTTTAGCTACAAAATGAAATTGAATGCGGGCATCAATTGAACAATGTAAGGAAAATAACACTTTACACTAAACATGTGATTTTGACTCAATAGTATAGCTACAAGAAATTGTTATCCAGCTATTGGAATTTAAGTGTAATATTCCTTCCAGAATATAAAATATTGTTCCTGTTATAGGTATTTCAAAATAACTTTTTTATTAAAGAGAAATGTTCCACGTAAATGTTTTCCGCAATTTTTGTAATATCGAAGTTTCACAAAAATAATTTGCCAAACAGTGAGTTCCTCAGTTAGTCTTGAGAATTCGGTGCAAGAGTCTGAAACACACTTCTGCAATGACGGAAACTTCAAAATATTATAAAATGCTCCCGATTTTGACATTAAATTGTTTTTAAATGTTTTATTAGATGAGTTGAACAGCTGGCACCATTCTACAATGCTTTCAGTTGGCAGTGTTAACCTTCACAGCCAAAATAAACTAATCCATGGCTTCTTCATGGAGAAATATTTTGATGAAAGTAATCTCAATTTGCTTAGAATGAACAGAAAAACAAAAAAAAAACTTTACCACGATTTGCATTACGGAAAGACCCTCCTACCTTCGGGGGGAATTTTACAGAAACACTGCCGCTGGTGCAAACCGGAGGCAGTAATCAAATCAACTAGCTATTGCTGGATTTTGAACCTGTGTCGTCGAGGGAAGAGTGATCTACTTCCTGAATCGTAACGATTCCTTACGAATGTTAAATACAATGTGCCCATGATAATAGAAAATGTAAATTGGGTCTATATGTTTAGTATAATTAAACGCCACTTTTATTAATACCATTAGATTCAATTGATTTTTTTAATTAAGTGACTCTGGCGTGTAATATTTACTCTCCATAAAAAAAGAATCCCATATTTTTCTTTAATTATGATATTAGCAGCAATTTCTTCTTCTAAAGGATAAGAAAAAAAGCTCACAAAGAGGCAAGTCCTATAATTTTTGAGCCATACTGATTTTTTAAAAATGTTTAATGTTTCCGGTTAAAATGTTTAACGAAATGTGTTCATAATAATAACAAATATAAATTGATGGTTCTATATACTTTGTATGACGCCCGGTGGCTGAGTGGTAGCTCTTCACTCTCCCATGCCACAGGTCCTGGGTTCGATTCTCGGGCCGGGAACGGTTGACTCAGCCTTTCATCCCTTCAGTGGGCCAATAAATGAGTACCAAGCATGCTTGGGAACTAGACACTGGGAGGGGGGTGACCACTTCGGCTGACCACCTAACCGGAACATCTGCTCCTGCACCCCAGAACCCAGGGTCAAGAAAACTGAGATGAGCACAGTAGGCCCTCTATGGGCTGTCGTGCCACGGAGTTTAGTTTTATGTGCTTTGTTTAATTGGAGGCCATTTTTGTAAATGCCACTAGATCTAATTATTTATTTTTAAACTGCTGGCTTTGGCTTATGAACTCTACTGTCCACGGAAATTTAAACCTTTTTTTTTAATGCGATATCTGTAACAATTGTTTGGTAAAATGGTTATCAAAAAAGCTCACTAGACAACTATTCAATAAAAAAAGAAAAATAAACTGGTAATTTGAAAAATTAAAATTAATCTCAACCGTTAAGGTATCCGACAAGTTTTGACAACTTTTTTTTTTAAATATTAATACAGATTTAAAAAATTAGCTGATTTAATTTATTATGTGTAATAGTATGTTATGTGCATTATGTGTAATTATAGTTATTATTATTATTCTTAGGTAAAAATAAGGCGCCTTTTTGCATATACGCTAAACTCTGTAAAAAAAATTCAGCTCCAAAAAACAAAAATTCCTTTGAGGATTTTATTTAGAGGGCTATCCATTATGTTTCGAAGTATTATCTAAAAATTATATGCATATACTACTGAGTTAAGGATCAATGCAGTTAAAAGAGCAAATTTCAAATAATTCCAGCATATGTCTTTGTCAAAAAACAGGCAGAAAAAAATTACCTTATTCTCTTAGTCTGTAGTTCGAAACAAAATTACTATAATCATAAAAACTCGTTAAAAATTTTAGACAATTATTTTAAATTCAACGTGAGAAGGTAGTGTAAAATATAAAGAAAATCTGATTTTTTATTTAAAACGTATTTAAGGATTTAAAATCATTAGTCTATCCACTGTTATCAGTTTGCACAAAAACTACTATAATTTAGTAAATAATGGAACCATAAACAGAAGTGAAGTATTTTTAGAAAGCTAAGAGAACAGGGATTCTAAATTTACACGAAACTCAATTTCGAAAATTTTGCCTAAATTATGTTTTTGCATTAGACCTTAACTGCAACTGATTGTATTAGACCACGTATCTTAACTACTAATGATCAACACTTTATTATTTATATATATTGCAATTTGATGCAGTATATGTAATATAATTGATGCAATATATGCAATTTGAAGCAATAAGTAGCAAATTGTCCATTAATTTATTTTATATTGATAAATTATGATTTGCAACACATAGATTTTTCTTTCTTCTTTTATTTATAGTTTCTCAATCGCCAGATTAAACTTCATAAAATACTAATAATACAAAAGGCATAATCTATCAAACTATAATCATAACAATTACAATTACAGTTTATTGCAAACGCCATAACATACCAGTCATAATATTTGTAACTCTATTGCAACGTCTCATCGTTATCATCGTTATGTCGATGCGTTTCAAACATGTATATATATGAAGAAAAAAAACTCTAAAAGAATTATAAAAAGATTAATTAAAGAATTATAATTATAATATTACAAGAAATATTATATTTAGGGGATGGTGAGATAATTTACCTTCGAGTTGTAATCATTAATTAGCTATTTTCAAAATGACTGACTTCTTGTCAATGAAGAGGACTATAGTTTTGTAAGCGTAACAGTAAAATAAAAATAAATGAAAAAGTGTACTGAGTCTTCATACGTAAAAACATGTAAAAGAGAAACATAACTTCAAATTAACAACTGATGAAAATAAAATCACAAAATTTCAATATTAAAACTTGCTTAATGAAAGCTTCAAAAGAGAATGAAAATACATTACTCACCAATGAGTTTTAAATACTGCACTTAATAAACATTAGCAGCACTCTTGTTGATGTTTTTAAAAAGATAAGAATTTTAAAGAGGGGAAACGTTTTTAAATCGATTACTACAGATCTTGTTTACTTGTTATAAATTAAGATAATGACTGTTTTCCCCCTTTACTAAAATATAAATAGTAAAAATTACATTGCAATTTTAAAAATCATCACTACCTTTTCCTGGTTGTTGAATGGAAATGTACAGAAAATGGCTTAATTCAGTAAAAGATCATGTTGCGTAACTTTTTTGAAAATAATCTGTTCTAACTAAATACATTTATGCCAGTAAAATCTGCTAGTATTGGAAAATTTTTAGAACTTTTCAAAAACCAAGAAAAAAAAATGTAGATGGCACTCTTATTTAATTTTTAACTCCACAGAAGATAATGAGATCCACTTATTAGTTTACGTATTATAGCATAAAAGATTTAAATTAGCGCATGCTACTGTTAAGATATTTAATTCAAGGAATAATATTTAAAAAATCAGTTGAAATCTAAATAAGTTATACAATTCACTTTTTAACTAAATAAATAAAAGCAAAATACAATTATAAGTATTAAATAATTATTTTTTTTTTTTAAAAAATAAGCTTACTCAAAATAAATATGCATCCAAAATTAATTTCAATTCAACATAAATACTAAAAACAGGGACAGTAAGTGTCTTCCACAGAGGAAAAAACCACAAAAAACATGGAAAACCACTTCGAATAAAATAGATTTCTTCGATGTTGAACTAAAAGAAATCGAATGTCAGAGTTTTCTTTCAAATAGATTTAAAAATTGTATTTTCACTCTGGTTTACTTAAATGTATTAATTTCTAAGTTATTTATTTCATTATGCCAGAAATTGAAAAGAAATATCTAAAATCGATTTTAAAAAATAGAATGACATTAAAAGGAAACAAATTGTAAGAAAAATATATTGCCTTGTGTAAAATTCTTGTTGTTTTTTCTATTGCAACTTACCAATGCCTTACTTTGAAACCAAGCAAATTTAAGGCATAAGGTGCATTTCTTGCTTTTCAGTGTCATCATCTAATATGGTTTTGGTCACACACGCACGTCACAGCACGTTTTACAAGTTTGACCCATTCAGGCATCCATTCATTCATACACAGATCGTAATATTGAAAAGAACCAGGGAATGATCAATCTCCTATTCAGATTCCCTGTTGTATTGATTTGTTATAGCTTGAAGTTATAATTGTACTTGAAGGACTTTGTAACCCCAACAAATTTAACGTGAACCAGTCACCATTTAGTACACGTGGTTTCTTCGGCCAGCGGGATTCAAGCTCAGGTTTTCACGAACACGAATCCAACGTCCTACCAACAAGTATATCCCGGTCCGTAAAATCTTTGAAAAGGTTGATTGAGGTTTAAAAGTAAAATTTTCGGAATAGTAATCAGAATTAAACCTGTTAACATAACTAGCTTTTTGTGAGCAGTTATTAACTACGCATTATTTTCGTAAAAAGCAGAATATGCAGTAAACTCAAAACAATATTTGTATACACACACAGTTTAGCCACTAAGAGTGTCTTTATTTATTTCGAAAATAAGTATAACAAAAATTTCATTACAGAAAAATTATAATAATAGAGATTATACAGACTATAAAGTACAAAACTAAAATAAAAGATGTCGAAGGATTATTTTTTTTAATAAAAGTATTAAAAGTGAAAAAAAATGCATTCGTTTTAATTTAAACTATTTTAATAAAGCTTATCTAAATAATATGATTTGTAATTTATAATTTATTCTTTTTTTAACATTTACATGAACATTAAAACCTCTTCACATGATTCCCAGATCTTTTGTATGCAAATACAAACTATTAATGCGCGATGGTAGAAAAAATTTTAAAAAAACCTATTAAAAAAGAAGTATTACTTCAATTTCAAAATCCGAAGTGGGTAATTCTGGTATTTTTATTAGAACAATAATTGAAAGTTGTATATATCTTACAACACAACAACAATTTTAAATAACTAACAATACAACCACGCAATTACTTACAACCGCAATTTTACTATCATATTTTAAAAGTACCAACGATTTCAAAATGTATAATTACGAAGAAAAAGTATCAATATATATGAAACAAAATGATTGTCTTCTTTGGATAAAAAAAAACTTTTCTTTATTTCCGAATGATGTTCTTTTTATCAATTATTTTGGAAACGAATTAAACTTATTATTTATTATACTACTTCGGGAAAACAACAAAAATATTTTTCTCTGTTATTGGATATCCAATTAAATGATAATTCTCATTCGAAAAAGCAATTATACATCACATATTGTTTTGCTTTCAGAAAATAAATCAACCCTGAAGGAGTTGCTACTATGCGAAGCAATCAAGTTAACTTTTTTTATTACTAATTGCGAATTTTCATATTGGGAGATTATATCAGAAACACAGCAAGAAATATTCTCATTTTACGTTTTAAATGCTCACTATAAATCAGAAAACACTTTTTTTATTTACAACTCTACATGTTTTCTCTGCAGAAAACTTTATTAAACTCCTTCATTTACCTTTATGAATAGTTGAAAAAGTTGCTTTAATTGCTACAAAATGTAATATGTTCATCATTGCGTACTAAAGACATCTCTGTTAACCTACATGCTTTGTAGAAATGAAAATGTTTATAGGACAGGTTTGTTGCTCTTCCATGCATCATAAATATTATCAGAAGTACACTTGTTAAGTCACAAAATTAGTAATTAAAAATAATTGTAAAATGCTTAATTTAAAACGCATAAAAAAACAAGAGAAAAAGTTCTAACACGTACTCTATTACATCTTACGAAGTAAATATCATAATTTTTACTGCCACCAACCTTCTTGTTTCGGCAAACAACTGACGTACCCGATCACAAAAAGAAGATTATTAAAACAAAAATCTCAAAAATATTCTTATGTTCCATAAAAATATTTTTGAGATTTTCGTTTTAATAATCTTCTGCTGTCGGCGGTGGTGCTGTCGGTTAAGTCGTCTCTCACACCGCTGGTTTAATTAAGAGCTGGAGCTAGTGAGTTCGATCCCGACAAACGACGAAGCAGCCGGCAGATGTACGCAGCAAGGTGCACGTTAAATATGCCGTGGTTGAAAGTCCTTTCATTGGTCACGTAGGTCAGATGACGCTGACAGCGTCATCTGACCTACGTGGCTTTCGTATTATGGCCTTTAAAAGATTGTTCAAAAACTAATGTTACATGCTTAGTCATGGTTGGGTGGTGTGTGTCTATGAAGTAATTTGTATTGTAAAAGTGTTGGGCACAAAAATATTAAAATTTCCAAGAGGTTTCAGTTTAGTGTTTCTTATATAAATATTTTCTTAAGGGCAAAATAAGATTTACCTGTCTATTGATATAGCTACTAGCGTGTTGATTGATGCACTGACAGACACGCCTTGAAGGTAGGAAACACTTTTGCACATGAAGAGGCCTAAAACCCAAGCTAAAAAATAGAAAAAAGAAGTAGTTAGCTTTACATTTTATTCTATCCAAATCAAACGAATTTATTATGACACATTACTATTCTCCTAAAAACTATTGTATAAAGATATTTTTAACATGAATTAGTGAACTTAAACATCTGTATTGCACACGAAAAAGGCATTTCCTCGAGAGGATCCAAGGAGGTTAAGGCTCCACAATTTCGAGACCAACTGCATGAAGGTGAAAATTCAGTCAGCATTGTGCACCACTTACCTTTTTTCCTATTCAAAATGATGCCCATCGATGATGAATGGGCCCAAAACCACCAACAAGGATCGTGCCTCTTCAACGACAGCTCCAGTGCGTTAGCTACTATTCAATTATGAGTTCTTTTGTACACGTAATACAACTTTAAAATTGAACGTTCTCTATGTTTTTCCCGCTATCGCCCTTTTTTTAGAGATAATGAGATTTTACACTCAATATCAATAAATAAAGATTCATAAAAAAAAAATGTAGCATGGGTGTAATTTATCTTCTTGTTTTATCTGTCCGTATTGTGTTGTGCCATATACAGGGTGATTCATAAAATATGGGCAAAATTTTAGGAAGTGATAGTACACACCCAAGCAAACAATTTTTATCAAAGAATGCATGGTCGAAAACAAAACTCAAAACCGTTAGAGGGAGTCAAAAGTTATGTTCGTATATGAGGCAAAAACACACAAAGAACGATGAAGTTAAGTTATAAAAACAAACTTAATGACATGTTATTACAATAAGTGTTCAAAACAGTGTCTGGCAGCGACTAAGCACGCAGTACAACGGCAAAGAAAAGATTGGCGAACATTCAGAAACACACAAGGCATATCGCGAACTTCTCCTGCAGCGGCCGAAAGCTTGGAGACAAGTTCTTCTGCAGATTCAATGGGAGTCTTATACATAAGAGCCTTCAGCTGCCCCCACAGAAAGAAATCGAGGCATGAAAGATCTGGCGAGCGCGGTGGCCAAACTAAAGGACAACCAAGCTAAAGGCTCTTCTTCCCGTAACATGCAAATAATAACTCGGAGCGCGGGAACTCACAACAGGAATGGAGCTTTCTCGTTTGCATGAAACAACTTTCCAAATGCGCCAGCTCCTTTGCGTTTTGTTTTCGACCATGCATTCTTTGATGAAAAATGTTTACTTGGGTGTTAATGTTTACTATCACTTCCTAAAATTTTGCCCATCTTTTATGAATCACCCTGTATATGATGCCTACGTTAAAGTGATTAGTAGAAAAGTTAGAGACATTAAGCACTACGAGATATTTTGGGGAGAAAAAAAGAATGGCGAAATATTTCTTTAATTTCAACGAAAATCATTTTCTCGAAGTAACGATAGCTATTTCGTCATTTAGGCAACACTTTTCTTCGGAGCACATAGCAGAAAGCGCATCGTTGTAAACGTAGTGATATTTGCTCAGTGATGACATGTCGATATGAGTTTCGCACCCGACTGACTCCGATCATAGTGTTGACATAAAATATTCTCAGTGGTAGACGGATTATGAATTAGAGTTCCTTTGCGTCAGGCTAACCGTGCGACATTTTTCAGGTTTTCCTCTCCATGCATCGCAAATGTGGGTAAGTTCCATTAAAAGTTCCTAAAAGAAGGCAAATTTCTCCCAATATATAATCCAAGCGTTCCCTTGTCATTTGGATTACTTTCAAAATTGCAAGACTATGGAGTTGAACATCAGTAGTCCTAAACTCAAAATTTGGGTCTACTGTTCAACGACGGGGTTAAATGAATGCGTTGAGTAATTACACGGTGAAGTAGCAATTTGGGGATATAAAATATGAAAACCATTATTTTGTGTATTCACATTTGATACTAAGACATTTGAGAAGTTGACACAAATTTACAAAGTATTTCTTTTGACATAATTGATTTCATACGACATGTACACTGTAAAACCAGGAAATCATCCAATCAAAACTCACTTTTTCACCAAAATACGAACTTATTTTAATGCATGTTTCAGAAAATGCTAAAACACACACGCGGTATTTATTGCACCATTTTAAACAGTGACGGATTTAACAAGAATTAAATGACATTAAAGTGGACTTCGATCATTTCTTTTATCTCTTAGAGATTTTAAAACTTTTTTTCTGTCTAATAGCTTTTATAGAAAATTTTTAGCAAAGCCGCAAATAAGCTCAGTATTTTTTTCTATTTATAGAATTACTCGAGATCGAAGAACATTTAATACTTAAAGTACATAAAAACCCCGAGGGTTCAATACCAAACAAAAATGCAAAAGAACAATTTCTTACTGCTTACTGATCTTAAAATCTATTCATAAATAAAAATTGAGATGAATTGATATCATTTACTTAAAATATGTACTCGATAATAGATATAATAACAAAGAATATAGCATGTGAAAAATGAAAAATAAATATTGGAATAATAAAGAAAAAAACGAAGAAGAAAATGGCTTTAATTCAAGAGAATGCAGATATGGTTGACATGCCTTTAGGCCATTTCAGCACAAAACTTGTCGACGAAAAAATACTTACGTAATATTAAATTGAAAGATAATATAAATAGTTTTTCGAAAAATTTCATCGTTTAATAATAGCTTTTTTCCCTATTCAGGGTAAAATAACCTATAAATATGCATTTAATTTTTATTTCTTTTCAGAAACGTTATATATTTCCTTTTGCTATAAGAAAATAAATGTCATAGTAATTCATAAAGTAGCCCTTGGTGATATCGGTATTTTATTATCATTATAATTGCTTTCCATTGTAATGCGATGCATTTTTATCCAATGTAACTAATTTTCTTTATCCTTATACAGGATGCTTAACTTGGTTTTGAATTTTAGTCTTATTTTTTATTTATATTTATTGTTTTTCAATATTTTCTGAGTCCTCATTAACATGCAACCTTGTAAATGATAGCCATACATACAACATTGTAAATGGTAGTTGTACATACAACATTGCAAATGATATCTATGTTAGATGTGTTTGGATATAACGGTATTTATACATAGTTAAGCTACTGCTATTGTCATTTTTTAATATATTTTTATTGTATTATTTTCTACTCACCATTCAAGATTATACCAAGATTCGTAGTTTAATTTAATTTTACACTCCTAACGTTTGAGTTATTTTTCCTTATAGAATATTGTGGTATTTGCTTGCAATAAATAAAAATTCTAGTAAAATTACCATGTCCTATATTTATGACATTCCTAGTGAAAAAAAATATGCGGTACTTGAAACATTTAATTTTAGTTCATATGTAACGGTTTAACGGAAATTCTGGTTTTCAAAATTCTAAATTTTATTCCCGCACATTTAGTAAAAAAAAATACAAAACTAAAAAACAAATTTAACTCAATAAACTACTTTTATAACATGTTATAAGACTACGTGATAAAATTACGCAAAATTTTTCACTTATTGTAAAACCATATTTTATTGTTAATCTTACCAAAATCATCGTCAAAGCACTTTGGTGAAAATTACCGAGCTTTTTGGAGCTATGGTAAATATTACCAGAAATATGGAAATATTTAACCAGATTTATGAAATTTTTATATTTTACCAGAAATATGGTAAATATTACTATATTCTGGTAGTTTTGATCATACTTTTTTTTCTCAGTGTACCATAAAAGGTGCTTTTTTATGACGTTTTAATGTTAAACTTTACCATTGCATTAATGCAAATTAAGTTTTATACACGTTTTAACTCTTGTATCTTAAATTATTTAATCAATTTTGAGAAATTGTTTTACAATTTTTAGAATGCTACCTTGAATTTTATAATATTTTGTTAATTAGGCTTAAACTAAAGTAGCAACTTCAAAAGAATTTTTTAAAAAAAATTTATCGTGCTTCTTTGAAAAATTATTTTTTTTCTGAGGAGTGAAGTATGCTTCTTTTAAGTCATTCAATTTGGTTTTTCTGTTTGGTTATCGATGTGTTACACAGTCTATTTGATTTTGTAGTCATTAATTAAATTCAATGTTAGGTTGATGAGTACCATTTAGCTTTAATTTTGACGATTATGCAGTAATATCCTTGTTGAATTCAAGAGCGTGGATTCTTAATTTTTGCAAAATTTCTCATTCATTTAGTATAATTGATACTAAAATTTAAGATTGATGAATTATGTTAATCATCATTTTTTAGAAGCTTTTATGCTTAACGAATGCAGAGATTTGAGCGATGGCAATGGGAATTGCAAGACAATTTAGCTGAAATTCATAAAATTAATTTTAACAAAATAATCATGAAAGCTTATTAGCGAGTAAATTATGAAAAAATCAAAACGCGCCGTCGTATCTTATCTCCTAGGCAATAAAATCATGTTAGGAAGTTGACAAGCAGACCAAGCTAGTGAAAGCATTGACATTAAGATATTTTAGTCTTTTATGCAAAAGCAAGTTGCTTCATAGACTAGTATGCAATTTACTGAGCATTTTACATAATAGTTTAAAAAAGAATAAGTTACAAGTTTAATTCTAACATATAATGAAAACGAAACAAATAGTTAAAGAGGCATGTTACTTTCCCAGAAAAATACCACAAACTGAAATTTCATTCTTATGTAACAAAAGTGAGATATCAGCTTCATATGAGTAATTATCTGACTGATTAGCCTTAGTTACGCATTAGCCTTTTTCAGAAACATGCCTTTTTAGCTTTCAGCACGCTTAGCTTTCAGCCTTTTTAGCACGCATATCAGCTGTGTCCAGAGGCAAACACCGGTAATAAGCTATAATTTGAAACTTTTAAAAACAAATGAAGAGCTAGCTATTAAATATGACTCTAATATTCCGCAGGAATAACTTCAAACCAAAAGTTATTTTATGTAATTTAGATTTTAAAATTTCCTCTAAATCTAATTAGATTTTTTAAAAAAGGTAAGATTTATTATGCTAAGTCTATATCAATTTCTTATTAATCAATTTCTTATTATCATTTTCTTCAAAAGTTTTCTTT